TCAGATACATCATTTCGTTTCAGGTAAGACCACGGGTTGATATCCAGTTAGAAAACTACTGAAAACCAGCACTCGAGGACTGGACACCTACTTCATCAGCTTAGTTTGGGATCCATCATCGGCAGTACGCACTCACCGCCAGGGTCCGAACCCAGGACCTCCACAAGGTTACAAACTAAACTCGTATGCCATTCACCCATTGTGATCCGATTCAATCGCCAGTCCATGAATTCTAAATTCTAACGATTCGTGATTTTAGCGAGATAACAACAAACCACCACCAATGTCATCGGCGGGAACTGCATCCTCACCCCGCCGACTGGATAGATCCCATTGGTCACAACTTCTCGCTAGAATTCACTCCAGGCAACTTCGTCCAGTACTGCCGATGAGCCCTGAACCAGGCTGATTAAATAGCTTTCCAGTAGTCTGCTTATTTTCAATGATTCTGTCTAACTGACATAAATCCGTGGTCTGAGCTGAAACAAATAGAATCCCTACAGACTATTTCTTGAAAATATTATTCAGTCTCAAATGATTTACATATTTATTTTACGAAGTTTCTTTGTATTACAATATATTATCATTGTTTTTACCACAATAACTCCATATTAGTTTGTTTATTAGATATATCACACAGTGAAACAGTATTACTATTTACTGTATGACACAGTTTCGAACAAAATGTATTACTGTTCATAATCATATCAATTGTAATCACACGACTTTGAAACTTGAGTTTTATAGTTTCCTTTGTTCTCTCCTATTTTTCGTCGTTAGGGTAGTAGAATTTCCCAAATATCTGGGTGCACAGGTGTACATGTATTTGCTCTCACTTGATTCGATAAACAAAGCTTCTGTTATCAATCTCTCCCTCCACCCTGTGACATTAGATTTTAAAACTGTCATCCTATCCCATCCATCCTATTGTATGGTTGTGTGTAATTGCATGTAATGAGTGCTATAGCTGAACTATTCTCTAGATTTCTTATCTCATTCGGGTCAACCAATCTAAATTTTGCTAAGTTTTTACGTTCAGCTAGTCTGACTGCCCCTGTTTGACCTGATAATCATTACAGGCAGGGTATTAGATAAGCTAAATTGTTTTGTTTTAAAGGCTCTACAGGATCCATAATTTAACCGACAAAGCTTGTTTCTAATTGAGTTTGTGGGTTTGAATGCCAACCACTTTTATTCCTGCCTTGTTAAGAATTCTGCGTAAGGCTTCCGAGGTTCCTTCCTCGTATGGAATTACTACTGATGATTTAGATTCCTTATTGTTGGTGTCGTCATTAATATTATTATTATCACTATTATCGTTATCATTATTATTGTTATTATCACTATCACTACTATCATTACTTATTTTATTTTTACATTTCCTTACATATTTCCTGACTAATTTATTCGGGTAATTATTAAGTTTCAAGGCTTCTTTTATGTGCATCAGTTCCTGTTTTAGATTTTTGCTTGGTACCACTTAGTTTCTGTGCTCTGTCATTTAAACATTTCACCAATCCTATTTTCACTGACATAGGATGGGATGATTGGAAGTCCAAATATCTGTTTGAGTGTGTGGGTTTCCTGTAAACACACAATAACTCCAGTTTATATGTTATTATGTACTTTGATGAAATAAACACATTATCCCTCACTGCTTATATATCATATATATATTTACTGAAATTGATACTTATTTGTTGTCACAATGTCCATGTGTCTGTATGCATTTAAACTTAAAAGTATTTGTAGGAGTATTCAGCTGATGACTCCCTCAACCAACAAAAGTCATGAATTCACTAAATACTCGGTCGGTCGGTTTTCGACATAGAACTTTGCACATATGTGCGCCAGTTCAAGTCGCCACACTCCACTCCATGTAGCACACAAAGCCAGAAAAGAAGAAAGTAGGAGAAATGCATATTAGAGAAAGACAGTAAACAGAGGTGTGGTCAGACAAAGGAATAGTAATAACGAAGAACAAAACAGTTTCATTGGAAATCATAAGTCAGTCACAAGGAGTGGATGCATCTGCACCAGCCAGCCATTGATAACGATCACTTTGAGCCATGTCACCAATTGTTTCCAGCCTTCATTGGTTTTTACCGTCCCGAGGACCGCAACCAGTCAGGAAGTCTACACCTTCCTACGTGGCTTAAATACTGTTTTTGTTTTCATAATTCTTACTTGTTTCAAAATTTGCTACTACGGAAAAGAAATGCTTCTAATGTCAATATAAACAAGGTAATAACACCACTACGACTACTAATCCTACCCCACATAAATATTGCCAGATAGTGTCAGACCCTCAAGTGGAACCCTAATAGGAAACGACAAGTTGGGCGTCGCTCTGAAGGTAACATGGAGGATATTGTGTGAGAAGGAAGTAAAAGCTTATGGGCAAACGTGCAGGAAGCTAAAACCATACTGTGCAGAGAACATGGTGAAATGAAGATCCGCCGCTGAAGTTATTTGTTCTACACAAAGAACCCAAAGGGACTAAACAATATTGTCAGTCAATAGGTAAGCAGAGTTACTAATCAATGGGATTCTCTCGGAAGAAAAAAATCTAAGCCAACTAGTGTTAAATCGAAAGGGTGCTGAACAACAGGCGTTTCAGCCCAGTTTGGAATTCTTCAGCATAACTCGACTGGGGATCGAACCTAGGATCTACAGATTACGAAGCGAACCTGCAAACAATTAAGCCACCACTGAGATGGGATTGCACGGCTGGTTTATGAATCCTGACTTCTGTCGGTTCTTGAACATTAGACTTGACTATCAATCAGCCAGTAGGCACTGAGTTCGAATCTTACTGTAGCTACTGCTGGCCTGAGCTACTAGGTAGTAGTATCATAAACCTCTACTTAACACATGTAGCTAATAGCCCAGTACACGGAAAATTTGTCACGAGTGACTGGATTCTACGAAGTCAAGGGCCAAACCATCTACAAATTGCATCAGTGTACTCGGAAAATGCACTGAAATCATGATTTAAATCCTGATGTGTGTTTCAGATGTGTATTACAATTTCGACTAATCGAAGACCACTAGCTACACACCTAAGGTACGACAACACTTGCCTACACATATTTCTCCATATGAATGGGGAATACAGATGACATTCAGACACGACATTTTTTCCTTCACGTTCCCATTGGAACAATAGGGCCTCAAGCTGGTGTCTTGAAGTTTCTGTAGCAGCGATTAATTTCACAGGATGAGGTTGCTAGCCTCATGCCTAACCTTTCCTCTTTACCGGCATTATTTCTGGCTTATTGAGGTAAAGGAGTGCGTCTGTGGCCGGGGATCGAACTCCGAACCATGTGCATATTCGGCGAGCGTCCTAACCGCTGTGCCACCGACGCTAAAAGCGCTCCCGCACCAGGAATTGAACCCGGGCCGCCTGGGTGAGAGCCAGGAATCCTAGCCACTAGACCACGCGGGACACTTGACTGGCCATCACAATATTCGCATTTCCATATACACTAGGCAAAACAATTTTAGAACACAAAGGCAAAAAAAAATAAAGAAGAAAAACATTCAAAAGAACCATCATGAGAAAAAGAAGAGGAGCATAGAAATGGTGTTTAATGAATATATGAGAGAGATCACAACAAGTTAATGTATCTGTGCCATTGAAAATGATTTTGTGCCCTGTCACCCGTAACCTCAAGTCACTGGTTATTAGCTCCGTGAGTGTATCCCAACCAGTCAATCTACAACAGCCCTACGTAGCTGGGTCAAACCAACAGTAGTCAAAGACTTCATGGATAGACAACAGGGTTTGGTTTTGAACCATCAGCCTCCAAAGCCTCAGGATGGTCGAGGGTGGGTGCTTTGCGCTGCGGGTTGGCCACCCCTCCGCACACCTCTTCAAATGCTCCCATATGACCGGGCGTCTTACATAACCTCTCCTGAGGAAGTCCTACTCACTGCCTTCACGTGGCCGAGGTGTTTTTCATCAAAGTGAGAGGGCAAAAGCGGATGCCCGGCGCTCTTCACCGGGCTGACTGTCCATTGGATGACAGTCTAGGGGAGATGGCTAAACCCTGATTCCAAACCTCCAACGACTGGCGTATGAAGCTCACTGGAGCTCACCGGAAGACGTATGGACAAAGGGCTTGTTGGATGTCCTGGATGTCTGGCCTCATTCAAAAAGGCGTATGAACCGAACTCCGGTCACCGGCTGTCAATGGATAGTGGACTCCCTACTCCACTCCTACTGCCTTGTAGGTCACACTTGGTTGTGTAAAGGCTAGAGCTGCACTCTCAAACAAAAGGCCGAGCGATTCTGGGGACATCACTCGTACCAAATTCCTATGAAACTTCATGAACTCTCTTACTCCAGTACTGGTCCAACAACGTCGCCTTCGGTGGTTTGGCTATGTTCTGCGCCGACCAGATGACGATCTGGTCAAATCAGTTCTAAATCTCTCGCCATTACCATCTTGGCGATGTCGCAGGGGTGGAGAGCTGAAAACATGGCTTGGTACAGTCAAGGCTGATATGGAATGCCTGGGGCTACAAAACGTCTACGGACTCCGTCTGTGGAACAAGAATTGGATAACCCTGTCGCAAAACCTTGCATCAGATCGCCGCGCCTGGGCAGCGATGATTCGAGATGTTCATGAGGCTGGCTCATCCTCCCGTAGGAGATAGCCGAAGTAAAGTAAAGTAAAAGTATCCCAACCAGTCAGTCTACAACAGCCCTACGTACCTGGGTCAAACCAACAGTATTCAAAGACTTCATGGATAGACAACAGGGTTTGGTTTTGAACCATCCTGCTTAACTCTTTACCAACAGCAGCAAATGAAGTAAACGTTGCACTAATCACAAACATTGGCACCAAATATATTTCAATTCAACTAACAAACAAACAGACAAGGCAACTGTGAATTTTTTAAACCAAAAAAACGGAAAGCAAGTGTGCATTACGTTGAAAATGAAAAGAAATATAAAAATTTTTATTAACTTTTGCTTGTACCAACCAACCAACCTTTCGACGTGATCTCTTTGAAAGCTTTTCAAGCTCACATGTTGCTCTTTGTAGTTCACTTTTAGCCCGACGCCATTCTTTACCATTTTCTCTATCTAACTGAGCGACTGTACGTTTCCATTCTTCAAGTCGATCAATAAGTGGAGCAGTTAGACATTCATTCAGTTGACTAGAGATAACAAAAAGTGAAAAAAACAACAACAACAACAGGAAAAACCAATCGATTTATTTCATCTAGCCTATATATAGGAATAATGCTGAATAAATACGGGAAGCATACAACCACCATTACATCACACCGACGGAGAGTTGCTACCTGAAAGCGGTGAAAGGGGGTTGGCATATCGCAGTCAACTAGCAAGATAATACACTGACTGCAACCAATGTTTACACAGACCCTCAGTCGGTCAGTTTTCGACATAGAACTTTGCACATATGTACCGCAGTTCAAGTCGCCACACTCCACTCTTTGTAGCACACAAACCAAGACATGAAAGTAGGAGAAATGCATATTACAGACAGTAAACAGAGGTGTGAGACAAAGGAATAGCAATAACGAAAAACAAAACAGTTTCATTGGAAATCATAAGTCAGTCACAAGGAGTGGATGCATCTGCACCAGTCAGCCATTGAGAACGATGACTTTGAGCTAGCCATATCACCAATTGTTTCCAGCCTTCATTGGTTTTTACCGTACCGAGGGCCCCAACCAGTCAGGAAGCCAGTCTACACCTTCCTACCTGACTGGTTAAAACTAACTGTTGTAGATTTCATTGACTGTTGTCATGTTTTCGTTTGACCACCACCTATCTAGCTCCTTTCCAGCCTGACTCTATATCAGTTAACATTGCCCATTGTCGAGGAAGGCGATGACTAGGGATGCATACGTAACACGTCCTAACCATCTCAGTCGATGTAGCTTCACAGCCTCGTCGACCGACTTCCAATTCCTCCTTACCAACTAGCACTCGACCGATGGCCTAACCTCAATATTGCTCACCTTATACCACTTCACACGGGAGATGGAATGCAGGCACCTATGATCAAAGACAGCTAGCTGGTCTTTTCATGTCTTCCACTCTCAATGGCCAGGTCTCACAGCTAGCCATGAAGGAGGACGGAGCGGACCGATGAACAGTACACACGCCCTTTGGTCAATAGTCGCATATCACGTCTACTAAGCCAGAGACGGTGTAAACTGGCATATGCGAAACTAGTCCTCTGTATTCGTACTGAGATTTCGTCAGAGATTAACCCGTCGGGGCTGATGGTACTTCCCAAATAAGTGAAGCGGTCAACGTGCTCTACCACTTCACTTCCTATTTCTAATCTAGGGGTCGGTGAAGTCCAATCCTGCAGCATCATCTTACATTTTACAGGGACGAATCGCATCCCAAACATACGAAGATTGTTGCTCAAGGTGTTCAGGAGACTCTGCATTTTGTCAGTGTCCTCGCCTAGAAGGACTATGCCGTCCGCATATTCTAAGTCAACGAGATTATTATTCCCTGGTAGCAAGTCAATCCCTGAGTCTCTGAAGTGAGTTACGATTAAGTCCATTAGTACGTCTATGATGAAATTGAATAGAAATGGGGATAATGGGAATCCTTGACAGACGCCACTAGTCGTCACCACTTCAGATGGCAACTCGCCGTATGCCCTCACCTGGCTGCATGAGTACAGATCCTAATATGCCAGGAAGGTTGTTTGGACAGCTGTGTTCGACTAAACTCAGTTCCCATCACTATGTAAGGCCTTTACACTACTCGATGAAATCTATGAGACCAAGTGGTACTGCTGACCAGTGGGAATACAACAACGAAAAAGGTCCGGCTACATTGCTTCCCTATTCTGAGGAAAGGAAATCGGAAAAGGCTGCCCACAATATGCTATAAATCCTGATCTACTCTGCAGCAGTCCATTGTCTAGTTACAATTCAAACACAAAAATGATTACAATATAGTGAATTTCAAATGCAACTTCATACTGTCTGTGTAGGTCAAGTAAGGAACTATTAAGAGATACGCCTTGAAAGAATCATTTTCTCTTACATTTCTTCTTATCACAGTACCTTTATTCAGCTAGATGGCTGATTATAGGTGTTTTAAAACACACCTAGTTGAAAGACAAATTGAAATTCAAGTTGTTAGACATCTGTAGGCAATTGACACGTGGCCATGGGCCTACGTTTTGTGCCTATGAGAACTCGTCAGCAAGGTATATTTTCTACCTGGAGACAATCTATATCCCCCCTGAGATTTGAACCCATTTCATCCAGTGTTGCGGCTTATGATTTACTTACTAAAACAGTTTAACGGTTGTGTGGATTAGTCACGGATATGTGGCTACAACATTAGAGGACATTATCCAGTTTAATATCATGCTTGTAACTTGTTCAATACATTTTTTTAACGAATATGCAGCTTTGTTTTGCATCTGAACTCTGAGTGGTTGACCATGGTTGCAGTGACTTTGGATATGATAATTTAACTTCGCCTATGTCAAAATTCTCCTGAGAACTCCGAAAAATATGTTATTAATCCTTCGAGTGTGAAACTTAATTGAACTGAGACAAGACACATTATCCTTCAGTTACCAGTTCACTTGAAATTCAAAGTGATAACATTGAAATAAGTGCAAGACACTCAGACTTCTCAGTTATTGGTTGAAAATCAAATTCCCTTCATCTATACTGATAGTATTAATTATTGGAACACAAAATTGGTACATTATGGCCACCAAGAGATGAGCCTTACAAAATCTCATAGTTCCCGTAAAGGCTGGAACATTGCCTGCACACCTAGTATGAAACAGATGACTTCATCAGGAGAACACCCGAAGCCCATTGAGTTTGCCCTTAAAGCCTGGTCCACAAGACAGCGGGGCAGCGTCAGCAACCCTATTCTTCGGCTTTCCGGTGACCCATACAGGTTCAAAAGCCAATCGATCCGTTCGGATTCTGGAGGCCATATGCAAGATTGGTTTGCAATCACGCTTTTCCAGCTCTCCTCAGTAGACCGCCATGTCCACCGGTCCATTCGTAAGCGCCAGATGTCTGAATTCACCCTTTCACTTTGTGATGAACAGTGAATACGATTTACCCCCCGCAGAAGCTATGGTCGCATTACTACATGAGAGCATTTCCGAAGACAGGCCAAAGTCTGCTCAGTCTCCACCATACCAGGTCGTTTATGATTTAGGCCACGCATAAAACGTCTATAGAAGAAACGAACATACACCTGTCGAGTTAATATGCAACTCATTGTACTTACTATTTAGTCCCAACAACACTAACTAACGGGGAGTGATATATGAACAAATCTGGCTTGAAGGCTTGAACAAAGGTTACCTTACTGCACACTTATTTATTCCTTTCAGCTCTGAATGCAAAATAGGGACTCAAGACTTCGGAGTTTCAGTTGCCGTAGTATGGATTTGCACGGGATGCCCTACCCAACTTTCTCTCTTCCAGACGCCACTACTATATTGACTAGAAAACTAGACACGGTTTAGAAGTGTGACGGACAGAAATCGAAGCCGGAATACTTGTGTGTGGTTGACAAAGCATTCAACCATTCGCCCGTCCACCAACACAGTGTTCACTTTTGACAAACCCAAAAACAACAAAATAAATAAGACGAAATAAAATGGTGCACAAATTTATACCAAATAATACGGCCGGCTTACAAGTGTCGTCACATAAGCCTAGTACCACCACAAATAAATAGGAAAATTCTTTTCTACTCACTTCTAAAGTTTAATACATACAAATGAATTATCATTCCAAATTAAACAAATTAGAAAACGCATACAGAAAAAATAAAAACACTCTCTAGAAGTAGTAATGAATCAAAAAAAATATTACCTATTAAATGTACGCAGCCTGGACTCTAGTCCACGTTCACGTAAACAGAAGCGAGTCATTGAACTGCCAAGTTCTCTTAGACCACAATTACTACTGTAAGCACAATCTGCAATTTTTTGAAATGCTTCCAAGAATCCACCAATACATTGGATGAAAGTTCTTTGGAGGAAAACAACAACCAAAAAAAGAAATGACAACTGCATGAAAATTATGAATAGAAAATGTTTTACCATAAGTGTGTATATATATCTATATCCACAAGACTATCCACAAACTATGGTGTACATCCATACTGCTCAGCACCAAACAGTTATACAAATTAAAAACTGAAGCAAACACTGACTAACTAACTAGCTGAGTTTCAACGTAGAAATTTCCACAGAAGTTCAGCAGATCAATGGCCTCACTTTATATAACACACACAAAGGTTGAGAGAAGGAAAAATTTAAAAAAGAGCTAGAATCAACAGAAATGTGCAGGAGAAAGAACAAAAAAAAACTGGAGGAACATGAAAATGTTAATCAACCTGGGAGATTAGAAACACCACTTGCATTCACACCACTGAGAATGATTTCGAGTTATATATTATCAACACACTGACGCCATTCGGTACTTAACTGAAACAAACAAGATCTAATTTAAATCGTAGACTTCCATTCTTGCAAATAGTTGGTTTATAACTCGTGAATGACAAGGTTTGAGTTCCACTACAATAGACAACACTCGCCTCTAAAGCCTCAGGATGGTCGGGGTGGGTGCCTTGCGCTGCGGGTTGGCCACCCCTCCGCACACCTCTTCAAATGATCCCATATGACCGGGCGTCTTACATAGCCTCTCCTGAGGAAGTCCTACTCACTGCCTTCACGTAGTGGAGGTGTTTTTCACCAAAGTGAGGGAAGAAAGCGGATGCCCGGCGCTCTTCACCGGGTTGACTATCTATTGGATGACAGTCTAGGGGAGATGGCTAAACCCTGATTCCAAACCTCCAACGACTGGCGTATGGAGCTCACTGGAGCTCACCGGAAGACGTATGGACAAAGGGCTTGTTGGATGTCCTGGATGTCTGGCCACATTCAAAAAGGCGTATGAACCGAACTCCGGTCACCGGCTGCCAATGGATAGTGGACTCCCTACTCCACTCCTAATGCCTTGTAGGTCACACTTGGTTGTGTAAAGGCTAGAGCTGCACTCTCAAACAAAAGGCCGAGCGATTCTGGGGACATCACTCGTACCAAATTCTCATGAAACTTCATGAACTCTCTTCATCAGATCGCCGCGCCTGGGCAGCGATGATTCGAGATGTTCATGAAGCCGGCTCATCCTCCCGTAGGAGATAGCCGAAGTAAAGTAAGACAACACTCGCCACTAGACCTCACACAACAAATTGAGTTGGAATTCATCCCGTCAATGTGAAACGTCTACCTAGTTTTTGTTCCACTTCACCACAGGCAGTAAATGTGGAAAAGTGAATTTTCACATCATCAATTCAATCCAGCCAACTGGTTTGAAACTATAAGAATTCGACTGAGCAACTGACAAGTTAATCCTCACAATTGTTCGAAACCATCTATAAGGATCAACCATAATAACTACTGAACTAAAGACTTAGTATAGATATTGTGGAATTATTGCATACATTGCATAGGGTGGAGTTTGTAGTCAGTTATTTAGACCCGAACCAGTATAAAATCGATGGAGAAACACTTGGTAGAGAACACTTCGTAGGAATTCAATACCACATAGCTTGCGGTTTTTATTTTCAGTCAGCCACTGAAATTCGCAGAAAGGAAACACCAAGCACACCGAGAAATAATACCAGCAAAGCAAGTGATACATAAGCCTCAATTGACCACTAAACGACATTACAATCACCGTTACACCCCGTCAACTCTCATTGCACATTTCATCACTTTGTCTCTTAAATAAACAATGTCCTGGATCATAAGTGTGAATTTGGTTCATCGCCCTTTGAGACTTCAGTTTTTGAGATGCAGTTTCCTTTACTGGTATTATAATGTACAAACGATGATGACTTGTATTCCACATGTAAGCACAGTTAACAACTGGCCTCTTTTATTGTGGCTCATGACATTGTTGTGCCACTAAGATAACACTAAACACCCTCCCGAATCAAATTTCCACTAGGAACAGATGACTAGTAAAGTTGTAAGAAAAATCAGTGACAATTTTCCGTACGATCAAGTTTACAATCTGCAGAACCATTCACAAAATCCATGGGACTTCCACACCATGGGTCAAACAGGTTGATGAATGGAGACTTCTTGGAAGATATCAACTATGGCCGTACTAGGAAAACTGCCTTAAAAAGGAGTTGATCGATAAAACTATCTTTGCTTAAAACAAAACATCTAAACTGCAAGAATCCTTCTGTTAACACAGGAACCGGATTTCGCTGACAGTCAATTGCCCACAAGATGCATTCCAAACTAAACACAAACAAGAGGCTATAAGTACCCATTAAGGTTCAAGAAACATACTACACTTAAGTATTACATCACAATCACGCTAGAAGTCGTACAACGACGAAACAGTAAATGTATGATTGGCTGAAAAGTCACCTTTTCATCGAACACGACTTAATACAATACTTCGAAGACGATCGTGTAACAAGAGAAAAACAAACGGCTACAAAATAAGTAACAACCACACATAGTTACGATTAACAACAAAGTTAACACTTTTTTTTATTTACAGCTTGATACCACACCGATACTGTTCACAAGAAACTGAGGATATGAAAGAGAAGTATAACTATGGGGTCATGACCAACTAAGAAATCTTTAGTCCTAAATGGTAATTAAAATTTAGGTCATATCTGAGAGGACTGGATATCTTCAGAGTTTCATTATTACTATACTAATTAGACTTTTACAATGAACAATATGTTAAACGAGATACATTTAAAAGTGCACCACACTAGCTATACTTCTCAAATGAAGTTGACACCAGTCTTTCTATCATGACAGGTATTCAACATGTACATATTCGTGGACGTGCTGTACTTCAGTAGTAGATTACTCCTCTACGTAGCCACATAAGACGGATGAACTCCTACCGGCTGTCCAAGGAGAATTAGGAACTCGACCACAAGTCGGCAACTATTTACATTCTTGTCAAACAAGAAAATCCTTGTGAACGGTTAATGAAATGAGATACGTGCATCGTCTTTGGATTAATTTTTTCGCCATCTTAATTATTGTTTCGAATGCAACGCTTAAAGGAAAGACCTTAAGGTCCATAGGTTTGTTATTATTTAGGAAGAAAAGTGAAGCAAAACAGAGTTTAGACTTACTTCAACGACGCACTTAATTTTGATGTTTTCGTTATCATATCTTCCCACAGCCCTAAAGAACTCTAGAAAACGAAAGTCAATAATTTCTAGCCCTTCCTTACTTTAAGACTTGCGAGCTGAGAATTGAAACTGATTGTGCACTGTGAAGATTTTACAAACTGATCATGTTTAAGCCGCTCCTAATAATGGAGAGGAAGAGAAAAAATGTTATCACGTTAGTTAGCTGTAATTAATAAATTTTCCGCTAGTGAGACACAACGCTAATCAAAATTCGAGGGAACTTACCATTACTACATCCAAAATCCCGCATTAAGTTACTTCCGAAAAGGGCGCCACAGCAAGTAAATTATATTAGCGCAAAATCCACAGATGGACCTAGTAAACTAGTTACCACAGCTTTTAAGGTGTAATTCCAGTGATTGTAGTAGGCATTAAATTATTAATAAAATAACAGTATTTAAAAAGCAGTTAAATTGGGTATTACTTCAACGGCATCCATTGGTGATATGGAACATTTTTGTAGATTAGAGTTCATATATTATTAGGAACAGTTGGCCTTATTTCTATATCCACTACATACATCTGATATTCGGTGGAGATCTAATCTTGATTTGGACAAAACAACGGATAGTGCTGATAGAGCGTGCTCCGATAGAGAATGTCACTAGTGCATAATCTGTCAGTGTTTTTCGAATTGTAAGGGATATCCTCCCAAGTCCTGTATCCAATATTTTTTGACAGATTAAATAAACCGAACTGAAAACTTTGGACTTGATTCTTGGTTACAAGGTAAAGATTCCTGACCTTTGCAAACTTCTGTGTAGTCTGACCCGTCACTCAATGGTCGTAGTTTTGCTTGAATCCATGCGAAGTGGTTGTATAGTATACTTTGCATTATATTCTGTGCTTAAAATGTGCTGCTGTGAATGGAATTAATCTTTTAACCGTATAGTTATCCGGCGTGGTAGAAAAAACAGATATTAAAAAATACCCGACAAGGAGGACTGGACAGGCGTAAAGAAGAGTTTAGATGGCGCTTATTAATAGGATGGGGTGTCTGATTCTTAAGCGAACAGTTCATTTTGACACAATTCCCCCGTTTCTGCATTATTATCCAACCTCCGGTCAAGGATTTGCACTGAATGTGAAGTAAGCATAGCTGCCGGTGAAGTATTTCATAGGCGGCAAACCAGAGGGGAAACGAAAGTCAGTGCACTCGAGTCCTTGTTCTCTCCGGTCCTCCAAAGTCATCACGAGGAATCCCAAGATAGCTTAGTGAGAGAAAACCTTTACTTGGTTGATTTGCGCCACTTGTTATCTTGCTAACAGTAATCAAGTAAACCCTTGCTATGTTTCAGATTACATGGAAACTGCAAAAGAGACGTCAAGTTGGAAAAATGTGCTAATCACCACTATCGAATGATTACGGCGACAACATTCCACAAAGAGATAAAATTCCCGAGCCCGCCCTACTTCAAAGAAAATTCTATCACGGGAACCGTGGAACATAAACCACCTTCTAGTGTGCAATAGAAAATGTCACCACAGATGCGTGAGTTAGTCTGAGCTAGTGACCGCCGAAAAATTTGTGTTGTTCTAATAGACATGAATACCACTGATTTATCTCCAGACTGGAAATCAACCTTAATATCACCAACAAAGTGATCTTAGCCAACTTTAAAGCGACTAAATTTCCCCAGTCTTCCATTGTATAGCTTATTTCGGAGACGCATAACTCCATCTGCCATCCGTCTTTGGACCCTCTGCAAAAGATTGATACCCTCTCCAGATAACACAGGCGCCACCAGTGTCATTATGCGCTTCAAGGTGTGTACAGTTCCAGAAAGAGCTGAAGACTGAGTGCATCTAAATGTTTATGCCTGAAGTGTGTAACCGCATAGGTCCATTCCACATAACTAGGACAGTTTGCATATTTCCCTTGACGGCTGCAGATGGAAGAGAGGCGCAAGATAGATTAGCATCCAAGTCACTTCATACAATGCGGAAAGCTTACGTGAGGTTACCCCTCAACCGCCAATATGGAAGTAGAAGATAACCTCATCCATCCAGTCTCCTCTGATATGACGGTTTGCAGATCCCCTGATAAGTTTATTTCCCAATCTTCGCACTCTTTCTAGTATGTCTGCTACATATTTTGAAGATGCTGTTCCTCACCACACCTTGTATTCCAAATGAGGTGTGATTTACAGCTAGGATCACACCTTCAATTTATAGCGCTTTCTCTTCTGACCCTCCATCGGTTAGAACGGTGGCATTCAATCGAATACTTGATTGTCCGCAGGCAATTACTGTCGTGTATGGCGTTGCGCGGTTCCGTGATTTCTGCTTTGCAAAGTGCTGTGTTGATCGTAAATGGCCATTCTAACGATGTTTTAATGTTTTCTATACAGCCAAAAGGCTTGTTGCGTCGCATACCATATTGAGATTAGTTAGCTGTCACGCAGGATGTTGGTGACTAGCAAACCTGTGGGCCCATACTCATTTCTTGGGTACAAGATGTTTAAGTAATATTTTGTGAGTTAATACTTTTCAATTATATGGTCTAATAATTTTTTGCTAACAAAATTATCACAAGCACTTCTATCTAACGAAGCCCGTTTCAGAAGTTTATCGCGCGTAACGGTGTAAATCAGAGCTTTCACGAGATTAAGTGAAGAAGGTGTCTCCCCAGCTCAGAGGAGGATGGGAAAATTTCGGAAGGCATTCGAGGAATCAGAAAACTACAAATTGCTCTAGCACAAATTACTTTTATATTCAGAATAAACGGATGGAGGTGGGAGATACATTTGCACGTAAGCTGCATTCAAGTTCACTTTTGGAGGTAGGCATCGGAAACGAGATCTCAAACAGAGGAATAAACCTTAAGACAAACTGTATTATGTATACTTAAGGTCTAAATTTGGGAGCCTCTTATCTTCTTTTGGATAATTTTGCAATGTGCTATATTCTACGATAAGAATGCTGACAAAATTACACAAATAAATCACTCATTTTAAATTAATATCCGAATTGGATATAAATCAACAATAAGATACGATGCCGTACACACCAAAGTTATGTGGAGGAAATGAACTCAAGCTTTATGTTTTCCCCAAATATTTGTAATCTAGAAAACACATACTTGGGTTACTTTTGTTAATGCGAAGCCAATATTTCAATATCACTTGATGTGCTCCGTTAAAAGACTAGCTAGCAGATTGTACTCACAAACTAATGTCAGAAAGGACAGCAACCATGTAATTTCACCGTAAATCAAATTCATATAATTTAAATAATACTTATCCATCACTGTAAAACTGGTGTGTCCTTCATAGATAGGAAAAACATTATTATTATTAATGGCGTGAAAAATGTGCAAGCATCCATCAACTGAAGAATTGTGAATCCTGTACGTATTAATTTTAGGAATGTCAGGTCGCAACTGGATCTTTCAGTTACTTAAATGCATTTTCATGTAAATTTATGTTTATATGAAAATATAAATTATTATTAAATCCTGTGGGAAAATGGCAGACTTTCATTCGGATGAGCCCTCCCGAGATTCACTAACTCGAGTTTTAATAATAATAATATATATTTTGCTATCAATGTAGGACACACCAGTTGTATAGGCATGGATAAGTATTGTTTAAATTACATGAATTTGATTCATAGTGAAATTACATGGTTGCTGTCCTGTCTGACATCAGTTAGTGAGCACATTCTGATAGTTAGTCGTTCAATGGATCCCATAAAGAAATATAGAAATACTGTCTTCGCATTAACAGAAAAAAACCCAAGTATGTGTCCGATAAATTACAAATATTTGGGAAAAAATAAAGCTTGAAGTCAATTCCTCCATATAACTTTGTTGTGTGCCGCATCGTATCCTGTTTTATGTTCAAATTGGGTATTAATTTAAAATGAGTGATTTATTTTTATGATTTTGACATCATTTTTATTGCAAGTAATACCAAATGTGAATTCAACTGAATGCAGATTAATATTGGTCATTGTCAAGCAGATTTGTTTTACTGCACTCAAGTCATCCATAGGCCACCATTTGTCACAGCATGGTTGTTCCGTACCAGTAAGTTGATGAACACGTAGAAAGCCATATAAAAACCATCTTAGATCGCTGACAGTGCTTGTATAAGATGCTGTACAGCGTCTTGTTATGGTGACAGTGGATTTCATCAAGGATGCTGAGCCATTACTAGCCAAACCTTGAGGGATAATATATGAGTAAGTGACTTCAATTGTTTCTCAGCTTCAGTCGGAATGTAAATCAATGCAACTTGTACTACAAAGTAAATACAACAGAAATGTACCGGTGGGCAGAGAAAAAGTATGCGCAGTCGAACATATTTGTTTATATTCGTTGTACATTGTAATTTGATGAACAAATACTTGTTTCCACTAAGACTTTTTATGCATTTATGCTACTAGTTTATTTATAGTCTTCAGAGAAGTAAGGGTATTTAAGCGCGTTTAGGTACTGTAGTAGACTAATAGTTGATTCGTTCTAGGAATAAATAGTTTATTTATATAGTCGGTAGAGTGAAATATTGTGCACAGAGGGCGTTTGAAACTTAAAACTGTATTGCAGTTCCTGATATCTAGGGACAGATTGTTCCATATTTTAGAATACATGACTGTGAAGAAGTTTTCGCGGAGTGTTGATTTAAAGGCTTTTATTGTCACTGTGCAATTTTGGTTACGCAGATCGTAAGAGCCTTCTTGTGCGAATTGTATGTCCTTATTGTCTAAGAATGATATTTTGTGTAGGACCTTATAGAAGAATACTAGGTTTATAATTAGTCGTCTTGTCCAGAGTGGGTCAAGTTGTAGAATCATGCACCGTGAGATGTAATAATAATAATAATAGTATATTCTCATTTTTTACATGAGGGACACCAGTTTACAGGCATCATCAATTCGATAAATTACACATACGATTTGTAAGTATAGTTAGTAATGATAATATAATAAAGTACATATTTATTCATTCAAATATAGGACACACAAGTTGTATAGGAATGGATAAGAATTATTTAAGTTACATATTTAAATTACATGATTTACGGTTAAATAACATGGTTGTTGTCATTTTATCTTTAGTTTGTGGGGAAAATCGGACAACTGGTGATTCAATGGAACACACCAACAAATATAGAGATATTGACTTCGCATTAACAAAAAAACCCAAGTATGCGTTGGATGGATTACATATACTTGGGAAAATAAATAAAGCTTGAAGTCAATTCCCTCATAAAACAATAAAATGCGTCTTACAATAATATATTCCCAATTTATGCACATGAGGGACTCCAGTTGA